TCACGACCTTGCGCTTGCCAGGCAGGCGCTTTTGCCGCTGAGCTAAATCCCCAGCCCCTTGTTTTGCTTTTTGATTATATGGAAATATCTTCTATAAGTAATCACTGTCTTACTCTAATACCTTAAATAGTATAGTCATTTTATAAGAAAATTGGAGATAGGTGAATGGCAACAATATAGATTGAGAAATTAAATAATATTTTCCTAAGGAAGATTTGCAAAATTGTAGTTTTAGGGTAATCTAAGGGAGATATATACAAATCTAAACATATATACAAAAACAGACACACTGAAATAATTCATTCAAATTATAAACTAAATTTCAATAAGAAATTCAGAAAATGTAAGTCTAGGAGTTGAGACAGAGAAAGCAGGTCTTCTACCCTAAATTCTCTTCTATTATTTTACAATCAATATGAAAGAGTCCTTTCTTATTCCTTATTTTACTGTCTATGTACACACACACACACAGACACAGACACATAAAAACAGAATCAGACCATTTTATGCAGAAGCACCAAAGTTGGCATTTTAGTATGTTTATTCTTTCATTTGCTTACTTGTTCTTAGCACTGATTAAAAAAAAAACTCTCAGTACTCAAATATCTAAACTATAGTCTAATAATTCAGGATTTGTATTTTTAAAAAAAAGAGTTCTACTTACCTTTTCCTGACAATGAATCCCGACGGTTCTGCAGGTAATACAACAGCTGTTCTACTTCATTTAGTTTTGAGGGATGAATAAGTTTACATTCTTCAACCACCTTCCGTGCTAGGGAAGTTATATCTGTGTTGGCATTGAGACCCTTCAGACGAATACTGCAATAAATCCAATTTCCAAATCAGACATTATAAAAGTATAAGTTTAATATTACTACTTTAAAATATACAGTCCACATACACTTGACCATGAAATCTTAGCAAAATGAATGTTATTTATAGTTAGGCTTAGAAAAATACAAGGCAATGCTTTTCTTTCAATTGGATGAAGAAGATTACAAAAGCCAACATAGAACATTTTCTGAATCTCTAGGCAAGTCAGCATATTCAGAGGTTCTATTTTCAAGAAATATTTCTGCTGTAAAATATGTAAAACCTTTAGTCTTTATTGTATTTGAGAATCCATACTAGCACAGATGAATCACTGTCTTCACATTGCCCACAACTGTTTATTTTTTCCAGTTGGAAACGAGAAGATATTGTTATTTTGGGATTTAGTTGCTGTGGTGGCAATTACACACGAGGGAGAAGGAAAAAAACCAACATTCATTGTAAGATTCTTAAAAGGAATTCTGTGGAAAAACTAATGTACTTTATTTTTAGATTACTCCTTCATCTTTATTCTCTCTTCCCTTCCTTTTTGCATTCAGGAAACTCATTGGGACTCAACAAGAAAAAGAAGGTTCAGAGTCTTAAGACAACTAACTGCTTATTTACATGGACTCATAATTTGAGGGAGAACAATGAAGACAAGATTTGGTACTGAATAAAGTGCCCAACTGGTGACAAAAGACTGTCAAGCATATGTGCCATCCAAGAGTTACACTCAAATGGGAAAATCAAGCAAGCACCCACTGTGTAGAATTATTTCTTGGTGAAGACGGCTAGTTTTGCAGGCACAGGAGACCACCTATTAGAGGAAGTAGAGACTTGAGAGAACTGTTCTGAACTTATCATCTGTGAGAACATTATTAGATGCAGATGATTTCTTCTTATATCAGCCCAGTAGAGTAATATACACATTATTCCCAGCTATTAGTCAGCTCTAAGTCTTGTTATCCAGGAATTCTGTGAGCCATCCAATAGTCTTTAATACATCTTTGTATGTTTTAAATTTGCTAGAGTGACATCTATTGTTTGCAACAACAATAGAATCTTGTAATATTCTGGTTTTTATCATTTTTTCTTTAATCTATTTGAGTTATTTTTGTTCTATCTTTTAAGACTTTTAAATTATCAGTTAGTTTTTGGAATAGTTTTAGCTGGACATAGGAAAGTAGAAATATAGAGTCTATCTAGAGAAAAACTCAAAAAAAGTACATCCATGTTTCATTTCAACAAAGAATGGGGAAATTTGACTAATTCAATGAATCTGAGAAGAGACACAATAGAAATTCTATAAGCATATTTAAAATTCTTTTTTTTTTTTTTTTTTTGGTTTTTCTCCGGTACCAGGAACCGAACTCACGACCTTGCGCTTGCCAGGCAGGCGCTTTTTGCCGCTGAGCTAAATCCCCAGCCCCCATATTTAAAATTCTTTACTAATTTTTTTTCATAACACTGGGGATTGAACCCAGGGCCTTTGTACTGGGCCAAATCCCCAGCTATACCTCGCCCCCGTTATCACTTGTGCCTACATGTCCTGTCAAAGCCTCATGCAGTTTTATATGGGACTTTTTTGGAGGTGGCTGAATCTAGAGTGTGTGACCGACTCATGGTACAATGCTAAGATTAGGGGTGCTGGGATTAAGGGTGGATGACTGCTGAATTAGTCCACTGACTGGAATCGCACCACCCTAATCCTGGCAGACTAGAGATAATATAAGGGACAGAAAGAGGTTCATCTCTCTTCTCTTGTTGTTTTTGCTATCTTCTACTACCATGAATAGTTGCCCCCTGCCATATGCCACCCTGCCTTGGAGCCAGTGGATTATGGACTGAAAGCCCTACAAACTGTGAGATAAATAAACCTTTCATCCGTTAACTTGTGGGTGTTGAATATCTTGTCTCAGCAACAAGAGAAAAGTAACTAACAATTTGGTATCAGAAGTCATGTTGTTGCTGTGACATTACCTCGGCATATGGCTCAAGAACCTTTGGAATTGGCTTGTTAGAAGGGAAAGAGGTACAAAAGGTTCAGAGAGCCTGGCTGAAAAAGTAGAGCTAGAACACCTCTGGCTGTATGGGAGATTTGGGAAGATCAGAAAGCTGACAGAAATCCTGCCAGTAAAGACCAGGCTTGGGAGGTTTCTCCTGGGAAGAAGGACAGCATTGGATGTTGCACTCCAGATGATGTGTGTTATGGCTTGGCAGAAAGTTTGTCTGCATTTTACTCATGCCCAGAGAGTTTGCCTATGACTAAGATGAAGGGCAGTGGACTAAGCCTTGTGGTTCAAAGTTTAAGGCAGTCCAATGTTGAAGCAGTAGCATGGGGTCTGTTTGGGTTTCAGTCAGATTTATGTTGAGAATAAAGAGCAAAGAGCCCAAAAGAATGATTTAAAATGTTTGAGTTTGGCCAGAAAAAAAAGCCCTAGTAAATCTGTGGACTGTAGAGATACAGCAGAGGAGATCTTGATTACTGAGAAGGAACAAGAGAATAGAAAAGATGGCCTGAGAGCAGAGCAAGAAGAAGCAGGACTTTACGTTTTGCAGCCTCAGAATTGCAAAGTTGAAAGACTTTGCTCTGAGAAGAAAGCCTCAGAGCAACATGTTCCAGAATGGTGGTGGGCTAGTGAGGCTGCTTCTCAAGACTTGTTTCATAGGCATTTGAGCTCTATAGACAAGAGAAAAGGAAGCCTGGCTATTGCTCCAACTGGAAGCAGACCTTGGCATCACCCATATGGTGCTGACTTTAGAGGCATACAGAATCCAAGAGTTGTAGGGACAGAAAGGCTTCCACCCAGATTTTAGAACAAGGCCTGGGAGGCCAGGCAGTATGCCCCTGAGAAGACAGTGTGTGAACCTTATAGACAAGAGAAAAGGAAGCCTGGCTATTGCTCCAACTGGAAGCAGACCTTGGCATCACCCATATGGTGCTGACTTTAGAGGCATACAGAATCCAAGAGTTGTAGGGCCAGAAAGGCTTCCACCCAGATTTTAGAACAAGGCCTGGGAGGCCAGGCAGTATGCCCCTGAGAAGATAGTGTGTGAACCTGTGAGTGTGAAGCCATCAGTACAGTGGAAACTCTGAAGTTTAGAAAAGCCAGGAACAAGGATAGTCTGGGGAAAACTTCAAGGAGGGTGCAGAACTGGCCCAAGAGAGAAACCATGGTAGCTACAACCACTGGAAGTGCATAGGGGCAGAGCCACCCAAGTCCTTTGGAGTTTACATCTTGCCAAAGATTGCTTGGGATGCTGGATATGGAACTACAGGACTTAATATTTGTTCTGCTGGATTTTGGACTTGCTTTGGTCCTTTTCCTTTGTATTCCTCTATTTGTACCTTTTGGAATGGAAATGTCTATCTTATGCCATTGAATGTTGGAAGTGTTTAACTTTCTTTTCATTTGTACAGGGATTCACAGCTAACAGTTTGCCTTAAATCTCAGAGATTTGGGACTTGGACTTTTCAGCCATGCTGAAACTGTTAGGATTTTGGCAACTCTTAGAGATGGACTAAATGCCTTTGTGTAAAGGAATGTACACTGACTCTTTGGGGGGCCAAGGGCAGAATGTTATGCTTTGTGTCTAAATGCCCCCACTAAAGCCTCATGCAGTTTTAGGTACTTACTCGGAGATGGCTGAATCTAAAGTGTGTGACTGATTCATGGTGCAATTCTAGGATTAAGGGTGCTGGGAATAAGAGTGACTGCTGGATCAGTCCACTGATTGGATTGGCACCACCTGATCCTGGTAGACTGGATACAATATAAGGGACAGAAAGAGGTTCATCTCCCTTCTCTTGTTGTTTTTGCTGTCTTCTACTACCATGAATAGTTGCCCCCTGCCATATGCCACCCTGCCTTGATGCCAGTGGATTATGGACTGAAACCTTTTCCTCCTTTAATTTGTTGGTATTGGTATTTTGTTTAAGCAATGAGAGCAAAGTAACTAAGACAACCACCTTTAACTATATTTTATATATATATATATATATATATATATATATATATATATATATATATATATATATATATATATATATATATATATATTTTAAATGTTGCAACAGGATCTCACTAAGTTATGTTCCCCAGGCTGAGTTCAAACTTGAGATCCTCCTGTTTCAACTCCCAGAATGCTGAGATTACAAGTGTGTGCACCATGCCCAACCTTTACAGAGTAGAGTGAAGTTTACAGAAAAATTTGTACAAAAAGTAAAAAATTCCTGTATACACCTCCATGCCATTTTCTATTTTCTAATACTATTATTTTGCATTAATGTGGCACTTTTATTATAACTGATGAACCAGTATTGATATATGCAATTTTTAACTGAAGTTCATAGTTTACTCTGCCTTCTGTGAGTTTTAGTAAATACATGTTATATATCAATCGTTACAATATCACACAGACTAGTTTTACTCCCCTAAAAATATCCTGTATTTCACCTCCTATATCTCTAATCTTTTTACTATTCTTATAGTGCTATCTTTCCTGGAATACCATATAAGTAAAATCATAACATAGAGCTTTTCCAGACTGTTTTTTTTTTAATTTCACAATATGCATTTAGGTTCCTCCATGTCTTTTTTCTTTTTTTTCCTTTTGTCTTTTTGAGACAGGGTTTCACTATGCAGTTTAAGGCTGCCCTTGAATTCACTTTGTAGCCCAGGATGGACTTAAACTTGCGGTGATCCTCCTTCTTCAGTTTCCTGAGTGCTGGGGTTACAGATGTGCACCACCACACTCAGCCTCCTTCACATCTGTCTTTTTATTGGTGAACAGCACTTAAGTATATGGATGCACCATAGTTTGTCTAGCCATTCAACATTAAAGGATATCTTTGCTGCTTTCAATTGTTGTCAATTATGAATAAAGCTATAGTCATTAATGTACAGTTCTTTTGTGGATTTAAGTTCTGAACTTATTTGAGTAAATATCTAGGAGCTTAATTCCTTAACTGTACTGTTAGGCTATGTTTAGCTTTGTAAGAAATTGCCAAATTTTCTTCCAAAATGTATGCTATTTTAAATTTCCACCAACTACGAATGAGAGTTCTTGTTACTCCACATCCACATTAATGTTTTTGTCAGTGTTTTGGATGTTAGCCATTCTAACAGAGGTGCTGGTTTAATATAAACAGGTTTTTAAATGTTTTAGATTTGTTTTCTACAAACATACATGTTAGCAATCTGATGCATTCTTTCTATTTAAAGTAATCGACAGATTTTTTACTTTTAGTATAGTTTCTCTTTAAAATCTTTCATTTATTAAAAAGACAGAGAAATAGGCAGGGCAAAACTCTTTTCAAAAAATGTCAGTTGTACGTTTACTAGGTTATCCCTATAATAAATGTATAGACTCATTAGGCACATCATGTCTACTAGGAACATTGAAAACTCATAAAGTAGAACCTATATTATTTTTGGACCACAACCATCACTTTCTCATAAAGAAATCTTCAGGAAACTGAAAACTCTTGAGGATGTGTTTATACATTCCTTTGACTAACACCAGAGAATGAATTGTAAGTCTTCTAAGTCTGGGCCATACCATGGACTTCTCAGATTTAACGACAGTCTCACTTCATACCTGTCTGAATCTACATTAGAGTCCCCTCTTTCTGACCACTGATAAAACCTCTGAGTCCAAAAAACCACATTTTTCTTTTGCTTTCACAATGATTCCTTTCCAAATCTTGCATAGTCAACTTTGAGTAACATAAAGTTGAGTTACTAAGGTTTTTACTTTTTTAAGATTAAAAGATACTCCAACCACATTTGGTAGTAACTCTTTACTATGTGGCTAACCCTCTACTGAATGTGACTCTACCTAGAAAGTGGGCAGATTCTAAAATAATAATTCCTCACTGAATTCCAGTTGAACAAAGCCAGTGACTATAACCTTAAATATTAAAATAGATCTCTCCTGAAGTATGGATATATAAGGTTCTAAAAGCAAAGAATCTAGTATGCTTGCTTTTCTTTGGAAGTCAATTATGAAGTCTCAAGAGATTTTCATGTATTTTCAAAATGTATAAAACTTAGGCAAGCAATGGTAACACAAATGGAAGAGTATGACAGAAAATAAAAAAGTGAGCTAGAATTTATAGCATGTGTGTATATATGTGTATGTCTCCTTAATCTATTGCAAAATCTAGAGGACTCATTTATCTTTAAGGAACTGATATATATTAGCCACATTCTTTTTTTTTTTTTTTTGGTTTTTCTCCGGTACTAGGAACCGAACTCACGACCTTGCGCTTGCCAGGCAGGCGCTTTGCCGCTGAGCTAAATCCCCAGCCCTATATTAGCCACATTCTAACCCAAAGAAGAGAACCAATTAAGAGATCTTAATAAGATACTCAAGGCTTCACATCTGTAGCACTACTGAAATTAGGGCTTAATAACTCTGTATTGTAGGTGGTTATTTTATGCATTATAGCATGATTAGCAGCACTTGGCCTCTACCTACTAGATGCTAATAGTACTGCTTCTTATTAAGAAAACTAAAAATATCTCTAGGCATTGCTAAATTCCCCTGTGTAGGGAAAAAATCACTCCCACTTGAGAATCACTATATACTTAAAGTGATTTTCAGTATGGTAAACATTATCATATGTATTCCTGCACCTCAAATTTATTCTAGAAAAACACAGAATAGATAAAAATTCTAACTAGTTATCAAGTCAACATATTTTATGGGACAAAGAGGATTGAGAAGAACATGAGGGAATCTCAAACCTGTTCTACTTCCACTGGACCGTGGAAGAATGGTAAGTCACTATTACAATGTAAAGCTCCCAAGGTATCCTGGCAAAAGCAGAAATGGAACTACGCAGGATACAGGGAGAGCTAAGACTAAATCTTGAGTCAGAAAAATCTTATTGCTAACATTACTCAGAAGACTATATTTTCAAGGTACGAACTCAAGATTTGGGCCCCACTTGGGAATTTCTGAAAATCATACTAGTTTTTGCAATTCCTGAGAAGAAAGAAGAACATGGGATTACCGAAGATCTCAGTTTCTTAAACTAAAAAGCCCCATATAAACATCTTTCTAGGGGCTGGGCATTTAGCTCAGCGGCACAGCGCCTGCCTGGCAAGCGCGATATCGTGAGTTCAATTCCCGGTACCGGAAAAAAACAAAAAAAACTAACAAACATCTTTCTAGAAATGATCTCACAAGTTAATAATTACAAAAACCTTATTTTCTCTGGAATAAATACTCCATGGTTATAGTTCAATATAATCTCTCACTTAGATGAAGTATGTTATAAAAAATACTGTAATAACATCCATAAAGATCAAAATAATAACAGATCTGTATAAGGTGTGTTAAGATTCACTGCTTTCAAAATGTACACAAACAAAAAAACTTACATTTTTTGGCATTCCTTTCGTTCTCCCAACATGGGATCACCCATTTCTCCAAGAATGGTAGCTTCCACTTCATACTGAACAATAAGTGCTTTTTCTGATGGATGTACATCAATATTACCTCCTTTAACTTTCCTAGAATATGAAATAAAAAAGAGATAACCAGATTAGAAATTTACAAAAGGTCCATAGTTTTAATCTAGTTTCTAGGTTTAAAACATGTGGGCTGGATTAACATATACCTTTGAGTCATATTTATTCTAGATGTGGGACAAGAGATAAAAATTTTCTCCACTCTATACTACATGTACAATTTCTGGTCCTCCAGAAAGTACCTTTGTGAATAGTACTGTCTTAGAAAAAATAGATTTACCTAAAAAATCATGCATAAAAGCAAGTGAATGAAACATAGCAATCAAGGTAGCTTTGGAAGAGAGTAACTTCAACTAAAAACCAGCCTATCAACACCAAATATACCTGCTCTCAAACTTGTTTTTTTTAAAATCAGAAGATAGTAGAATAGAAGTAGCTTTCACAGGCCTTTGTAAGAATAGTTACAAAGGAGAAACTATATTCTGGGGAGAGAAAAAGAGGAACTGCTCCAGGAATCAAGAAAGTGACAGGAAAGCAAAAAAGAGGTCAGCAGAAAAACAATACAGAGAAGTACAAAGTAGTCTACAACACCAAATTCAGGTCCCTGGGGAGCAGGGAACCCAAGTCCACAAACATAAGTAATCCTGGGAGAGTGCCAACAGGGCCAGTGATAAATGGACCAGAACCCCTAACAGCAGGAGAAACCCATGGTTGTGACAAGCTTTAAATCCAGTATGGTGATTAGTCTGAAAGTATCTTCTCCAGCACGGTTGGTGAGCTTTGGAGAAGAAATCCACTGCACTGCTTAAGATGTCTCAGAGTGCTATAACTTGTACTAAGCACGGAGGTCCTCATTTGTGATGGGGACCACCACATGTGATTTTTCTGAGCAGACTAAGCCCAGATTACTCAGTAATTACACCTACTCTCTCCAGACTAGAACTCAGTGGTCTGTCGCTTCTCCCACCCTTCAACATGTTCAGGGAAATACTTTGCTTGTACATTTGCTATGCCCTCAGGTGCAGGGCCAGGGAAGGGGCAGGGAACCTAATCAGCCTACATGCCACCAAACCAGTTGGGGTGAGCAGTGGATCTGATTGTGCAGGAAGGAAGCAAACAATAAAAAGCCTCTGGAGTAAACAGTTTCCTAAGGCAGATATCCTATCACTGACTTCCATGCAGGTGAGAAAGAGGAGGCAAGGTTCAGCATTATACACTACAAACCTCTTCAATGGTAGATAAGAGGAATTAAAACAGATCCCAGGAGTGATCTACCAACCCTCCTCTCGATCTGGTGGACTGCAATATTACATGTTCTGGTTTGGTTTATCAATCCAACCACCATGGCATGGAGGAATTTTTTGGTCTTATTTTTACTTTTTCTTTGCCATTACTTTTTTCCCCTTACATTTATCTAATTTTCTTTATTACTTTAAAAAAATTTTTAATCAGACTTTTATCTGTAGCTTTATTATTATTATTATTGTTATTATTAGTTGTTGTTGTTGTACTGCAGATTGATCTCAGGGCCTTTGCTACATTCCACACCCTTTTTTTTTTTTAAATGCTTAAGTCAGGGTCTCATTAAGTCACTAAGTTACCCAATAATACTTGAACTTAAGATGGTCCTGCTGCCTCAGCCTCCCTCAGTCAGTACTGGGATTACAAGACATGAGTGGGGTGCTTTCTTTAATCCCACTGTTTCTCAATTGCTCTTTATAAAAAAACAAAAAAAAACCCTACCTCTTTCATTTTACCCGTTCCCCATCCCTTCAATTTTTGTTATGACATTATCATTACTTTTTACATTTATAATTCTCAACCTTTTAGTTTACTCTGTATTATTTTGCCCCTTTCTTTTCTATTATTATTGGTAGAAGAGTTGTTGGTTTTAATTGGGTTTTACTGTATTTCAAGGACCAATTTGCTTTTGTATTATTCTTACTATGGATTATTTTCTTCTCTCTGAGCAGAATCGCAGATCAAGGCCTCAAAGAAGGTTGTTCACAAAGTGAAAGAGCTAGCTATTCCAACAGATGCACAAATCTAAACATAGAAACATAAGAAACATGAAAAAGCATGGCAACTTAACTTCTCCAAAGGTTCATAACACTTAGTACCTAATTCCAGACGTATCAAAATAGATGAAATGCCAAAGAATTCAAAAGATAAAAGTTTTAAATGATAAGTGACTTCAAAAAAGATAAATAGCTAAATGAATTAAGAAAGATAATGTAGGACATAAAAGAGCAATTCAACACAATCTGAAAAAGAAGCAAACAGAAAGCATAGAAATAAGAATCTCAGTAAGTCAAATAAAAAATTCAATGGAAAGCTTCATGAATATACTGGATCCAACAGAAGACAAATTCAGGACTTGACCAATTATCACTTTGAGGGGATAAACAAGTTTAAAAAACTACAAACAAAACATTGAAGAACTCTGTCTGGAACATGGTTAATAGACTAAAGTGATGAATTTTCAGTACAAAAGAAGGTACCAACAAAGAGACTAAAGGTACAGAAAATCTTTTCAGTGAAATAAAAGAAAATTTCTAAGATTTTGGGAAAGATTTAGGTACACAAGACATTTAGAACCCCAAACAGATAAGACCAGAAAAGAACTTCCCCATGTCACATTATAGTTAAAATGTCAAAAGTACAGAATAAGAAAAGAATATCAAAACTTGCAAGAAACACCAAGTCTTTTATAAAGGCCACCCAGTGCAGATTTCTCAGCATAAAACCTAAAGGCCAAGAGGAATGATGTATTTCAAGCCCTGAAAGAAAATAACTGCCAACTTAGGCAGTAATTATATCCAGCAAAGATATTCTTCAGAACTGAAACAATAAAAACCTTCTAAAATAAGTCTAAACAAAAGGAATTCATGACCACTAAGTCAGCACTGAAGAAAATATTTAAAAGAAACACACACATACACACACACACACACAAGCGCAGGTAAGATCAAATTAGGAAAGATACATAATATAAACAAAAAATTATAGAAATTTGCAATATCTTTCAATAATAACTCAATAGAAATGGTCTTAATTCTACAACTGAAAGACACACTGGTAAACTGGATTAAAAAACAAGACCTATCTCTTTGCTGTCTGCACAAAGACACATTACCAGCAAAGACATACACAGTCTGACAGTGAAATGATAGAAAGTGATATTTCATGAATATGGAACCTGAAAGCAAGGCGTAGTTATAGTCATTGCTGACAAAGCTGACTTCAAGTCAAAATTAGAAGAGACAAAAAAGTCACTACATATGACACTGGTAAAGGGAACAAACCGCCAAGAAGATACAACAATTGCAAATATATATGCAAACTATCTCAAACTATCCTCAAACTATCCTATGAAATAGAAAGGGTAGGAACATTTCCAAACTTATTCTGTGAGGCCAGTATCATTCTGATACCAAAACCACAAAAAGCTACAACAACAACAAAGTGGAGGAGGGCTATAGATGAATATCCTTTATGAATACAGATGCAAGAATTCTTTTAATGATAGAAACAATAAAACTTTATTAGGGAAATACTAAAGCAAGCAATTTAAGAATACTATTAATAATAATTAATATTTTCACAGCAAATTCAACAACATATCAAAATGATCATGCAACATAATTAACTTGCTTTAATTCCAGGGATACACTGATGAATATACTATAAAAGTATAATCAAGGATGAAAAATCACACAACTGTCTCAACAGATACAGAAAAAGCCTTTGACAAAATTCAACATCCCTTCATAATAAAAACCCCAAACAAACTAGGACAGAAGGCTCATACCTCAACATAATACAGGCTATATATATATGACAAACTCATGGCCAACATCATATTGAATGGAGCAAAACCAAAAACATTTTCTCAAAAATCAAGATGAGAGAAGGATGACCACTCTCACCACTCCTATTCAGTGTAGTACTTGACATTTTACGCACAGCAATTAGGCAAAAGAAAGACAGAAAAGGGATACATAGAAAAGCAAGGAATCAAATTATTCTTATTTGTAGATGATATGATCCTATACTTAGAAAAGCCTAAAGATAATGCCAAAAAGAATTTTACATTTGATAAATTCAGCTAAATAGCAGCATGCAAAACAAACAAAAATTCTATAGCTTTTCTATGCACCAATAGTAAACTCACTGAGAAAGAAATCAGGAAAAAAATTACATTTACAATAGTTTCAGAAATCATGTTATTTTGCAGGGAAGTGAATGAAACTGAAGATTATTGTGTTAAGTGAAATAAACCAGACTCAGAGGAAGTATTCTATGTTTTCCCTAACATGTAGAGTCTAGGATAAAAAAATAGGTTGACAGGAAAGTAGAAGGGAAACTATTAGATAAAAGAAAGAAGAGTCATGCATAGGAGAGTAGTAGAAGGGATTGATATAGTCAAGTATGCTAAATGAATGTATGAAAATGCCATAATAAAACCCAATATACTGTGCAATTAATGTGCAGTAATAAATAAACATATTTGAAGAAAGTTACCTGCCCAATTTAATAACAATCATAGAATGACATGAAGGAACCATATAAATTACAATATAGTCATACCTTGGTACTAGAATGCTTTGAAATGCATCAGATTTGGTGTTCAAGGTATTTTGATGCAAAAATTTTATCCTGTTACTTGTCCTTGTTTGGTACTCCATGTGTAAGTTAGAACTTATCTGTGTTACTTGCCTTGTGACTCACTACCCTTTCTAGCCAAAACAAGTTGTTTGATACTCATCATTTTTGGTACTTGTTTTGCCTCCCAGAACCAATTAACAATAAGTAAAGAGGTACCACTGTATATATTTTGCATCATCAAATTGTGTGAACTGTAGCACTGGTATCTAAATAAAATCACTCCTCCATCACACTCAAATTACACAACAAAAAAATATTTACAGGTTATATATGTTCCATACCTATGCATCTCAAATTATGTGTCACTAATAATTTCCATAGGTAGATTATACATACTCTTTCTCCAAGTCCCTAAAGTCACTGTTATGGTTTGT